TTAGTTTGCCTCAGCCTGAGAGAGCCCTCTGAAAAAGCCTCAGTGAGAGGTAGGCCTCAGTGTTAGTTTGCCTCAGCCTGAGAGAGCCCTCTGTGAAAAAGCCTCAGTGGGAGAAAAGCCTCAGTGTTTGTAGGCCTCAGTTTGAGAAGGCCTGGTGTGAGAAGTCCCAGGTTGAAGGCCATCGTGTGTGAAGCTTTGGTTTGTTGGCTATTGAGCCTCCACCACACTCTGGGGCAGAGAGTTCCACTGCTGAACAGCTCTCACAGTCATGTTCAGATGGAATCTCCTTTCTTGTAGTTTGAAGCCATTGTTCCGCATCCTAGAAACAGCACAACATAAGTAAATAAGGTTTAAAGTGTCATTTGCCCAGGAGATGGCGCTTTGCCCCAGTGAGAAAAAATGGTGAATGAGTTCGGGAACGGAAAAGCACCGAGAGCGGAAGGGAATTGAGGATTTTGGGGGGCGTGGGGAGGGATTGCCATCCACTGGAACTCTCTTCCTTCAGGCAGGGACCAAGGCGGACTTTCCAATGTGCGTATACAAGATAACCAGCAGCAGAGAGGTTGCCGGCGGAAGCTGAAATTGGCTTCGTTCGCCTGCTGCTCTCCAATGGAGAGGGCTGGCAGGGCGGTACGCACTTTAATTTCCTGTGGTTTGACAGAGATTTAGGGGATGCGAGCCTGGGGAGTCAAGAAGTGCTGTGTTTGGCTGCCAAAACGGATCTTGGCTGCTGAAAAAAACCTAGTCCATTGTGACCTAAGGACACAGAAATAAGGCTGTAGGGAGGAGAATCGGATTCTGCCGCAAATGGCCTCTCCAGGTTAATGTGCATGGATTTATTTTCTGTAGATACCGTATATACTCGAGTACAAGCCGACCCGAATATAAGCAAAGGCACCCAATTTTCCCAGAAAAAAACTGGGAAAACGTATTGACTCGAGTATAAGTCGAGAGTGAGAAATGCAGCAGCTATGGGTCAATTTCAAAATAAAAATAGATAGCAATAAAATTACATTAATTGAGGCATCAGTAGGTTAAATGTTTTTGAATATTTACATAAAACTGTAATTTAAGATAAGACTGTCCAACTCTGATTAAATCATTATTCTAACCTTCTTCAGTGTAAATGTGCTTACGTATCCTTCCAATAATAAAGAGAGTAAAATAATAAATGTAATAAAAATAATAATAATAGGATAAAATACTGTAAATTAATAAAAATAAAAAAGAGTAAAATAATAAATGTTATACAAATAATAGGGTAAAATACTGTAAATTCAATAATAATAAATAGAGTAAAATAATAAATGTAATAATAATAAATAGAGCAAAATAATAAATGTAATAACAATAATAAATAGAGTAACATTATAAAGGTAATAATAGGGTAAAATACTATAAATTCAATAATAATAAATAGAGTAAAATAATAGGGTAAAATACTGCAAATGCAATAATAATAAATAGAGTAAAATAATAAATGTAATAATAATAAATGTAATAAAAATAATAATAGGGTAAGATACTGTAAATATAATAATAAAATATAAATATAATAATAATATAATAAGATAATAAATGTAAATGCAATAATAATAAATACAGTAAATAATAAATGTAATAATAATAGAGTAAAGTAATAAATTTAATGAAAATAATAATAGGGTAAGATACTGTAAATATAATAATAATAATAATAATAATAATAATAATAATAGATAAAATAATAATTGCAATAATAATAGGGTAAAATACTGTAAATGCAGTAATAATACATACAGTAAAATAATAAATGTAATAACAATAATAATTAATAGAGTAAAATAATAAATGTAATAATAACAATAACGGTAAAATACTGTAAATATAATAATAACAATAAATAGAGTAAAATAATAACTGTAATAAAAATAATAGGGTAAAATACTGTAAATACAATAATAGTAATACTTTTCACTTTAACAACACAACCATTCAATGCTTAGGCTTTCCGCCTAAATGGAACTGTAGAGGAGAGTCTCCTGAACAAGCCAGTACCTGCCGCACACCAATACTGCCATCTGTTGAGGAGTTACAAAGATGGAGGCATTACTTTTCACTTCAACAACACAACCATTCAATGCTAAGGCTTCCTGCCAAAATGGGACTGTAGAGGAGAGTCTACTGAACAAGCCAGTACCTGCCACATACCAATACTGCCATCTGTTGAGGAGTTACAAAGGTTGAAGCATTACTTTTCACATTAACAACACAACCGTTCAATGCTAAGGCTTCCCGCCAAAATGGAACTGTAGAGGAGAGTCTACTGGACAAGCCAGTACCTGCCACATACCGGTACTGCCATCTGTTGAGGAGTTACAAAGATGGAGGCATTACTTTTCACTTTAACAACACAACCGTTCAATGCTAAGGCTTCCCAAAATGGAACTGTAGAGGAGAGTCTACTGAACAAGCCAGTACCTGCCACATACCAGTACTGCCATCTGTTGAGGAGTTACGAAGGTGGAGCCATTACTTTTCACTTTAACACCACAACCGTTCAATGCTAAGGCTTCCCGCCAAAATGGAACTGTAGAGGAGAGTCTACTGAACAAGCCAGTACCTGCCACATACCGGTACTGCCATCTGTTGAGGAGTTACAAAGATGGAGGCATTACTTTTCACTTTAACAACACAACCGTTCAATACTAGGGCTTCCCGTCAAAATGGAACTGTAGAGGAGAGTCTACTGGACAAGCCAGTACCTGCCACATACCGGTACTGCCATCTGTTGAGGAGTTACAAAGATGGAGGCATTACTTTTCACTTTAACAACACAACCGTTCAATACTAGGGCTTCCCGTCAAAATGGAACTGTAGAGGAGAGTCTACTGGACAAGCCAGTACCAGTGCTGTTGAGTTACGAAGGTAGAGGCATTACTTTTCATTCAACCCTCGTATAATCAAATCTTGCTCTGACTGAGTGAGCTTTCCGATGGTGTGAGAAAGAAGCTGGGCCATGTTTCCTTCCCCAATGTGTTTTCTGGGATTTTGGCCCGGAATCGTCCAGTCCGCTCCTTGGGCAGGCAATGGCGGCGGCGGCGCATACTTCATTCCGGGACTGTCCCCAGCCGCTGGGAAGTTTTTAAGTTGGCTGTCACATCTCCGCGCGCTTGGAAATTAATGGCCTTGGTTTACAGTAAATCTATACCTTTTAACAGGTTTATCCCCCAATCAATTAATTCCTGTAGAAGGTTTTCGTCATCCCTTTTTGCCGGTTGCCAGGGCCGGGGCTCGAAAGTAGATTTATTTCCATAATGGATCCAATGATAATTATTTCACTATTTGGCGCGGGGAGGGAGGGCGGGCGGGCGGAGGGGTGGCGGGTGATTTATATGGTGTGGCTGATGCAGTTTCTCACCCTCTTTGGTTTTCACGATTTCAGCAGTCCTGGTTTAGGAAGGGATGCAGAAGGGAGGGCAGAGGGCTAGGATTGGCTTCTCAGAAGCAGAACGACTTCGAAAGGAAGAGGCGAGGCGGGAGGAAAGGAAAAGCATGTTTTGCCTTCCTTCTCAAGGCAGGTAGTCCCCGTGTTACAAACATCCCACTTACAAACAACTTGGTTAAGTGTGTTGTCAAGCACTGAAAGGGTTAATGACTCAGCAAAAGCTAGGTAGGAATCACAGTGAGGCCTTTCTCCCACTGAGGCCTTCTCACATTGAAGCGAACTAACACTGTGAGAAGTGTTAGTTCGCTTCAATGGGAGACAGTGGGAGAAAGGCCTCACTGTGATTCCTACCTCACAGTGAAAATTTCTCCCACTGAGGCCTTTTCACAGTGTTAGTTTGCCTCAGTGTGAGAAGGCCTCAGTGGAAGAAAAGCCTCACTGTGATTCCTACCTAACAGTGAGGCCTTTCTCCCACTGAGGCCCTCTCAGAGTGTTAGTTCGCTTCACTGGGAGAAAGGCCTCACTGTGATTCCTACCTCACAGTGAGTCCTTTCTCCCACTGAGGCCTTCTCGCAGTGTTAGTTCACTTCAGTGTGAGAAGGCCTCAGTGGGAGAAAGGCCTCACTGTGATTCCTACCTCACAGTGAGGCCTTTCTCCCACTCAGGCCTTCTCACAGTGTTAGTTCGCCTCAGTGTGAGAAGGCCTCAGTGGGAGAAAGGCCTCACTGTGATTCCTACCTCACAGTGAGGCCTTTCTCCCACTCAGGCCTTCTCACAGTGTTGGTTCACCTCAGTGTGAGAAGACCTCAGTGGGAGAAAGGCTTCACTGTGATTCCTACCTCACAGTGAGGCCTTTCTCCCACTCAGGCCTTCTCACAGTGTTAGTTCGCCTCAGTGTGAGAAGGCCTCACTGTGATTCCTACTTCACAGTGAGGACTTTCTCCCACTGAGGCCTTCTCACAGTGTTAGTTCGCCTCAGTGTGAACATGTCACAGTGGGAGAAAGGCCTCACTGTGAGGTAGGAATCACAGTGAGGACTTTCTCCCACTCAGGCCTTCTCACAGTGTTAGTTCACCTCACTGTGAGCATGTCACAGTGGGAGAAAGACCTCATTGTGAGGTAGGAATCACAGTGAGGCCTTTCTTCCACTGAGGCTTTCTCACAGTGTTATTTCACCTCAGTGTGAGAAGGCCTCAGTGGGAGAAAGGCCTCACAGTGAGAATTTCTCCCACTGAGGCCTTCTCACAGTGTTAGTTCGCCTCAGTGTGTTCATAATTGTTCATAATCTTGCGAAACATGACAAACTTTATGTACTGATGGAGTTTCAGGGGGTTAACCCGGCATGATGTGAGTGTTCACCCACAACCTTATGCATTTTGGAAAATTAAAAAAAAATGACTTTTTCAACAAACCCGGGGACAAAAGCTAGTTTATTAAATAAATTTATATTCCACTCTTTTTCTGAGATCAAGTTGAAAGAAGGACAAAGATACTCACTGGATTTCCTCCGGATTTACATTCTGAGCATATACCTATAATCCTTTCTTCTTGTCGTTTTGTTTTTTAATCTTAGGCTGGTACCCACGGCTCGGTTCTATCCCTTGCGCATGCACTGCGTCCGAGCGCTGACCCTTTTGTCGGAGAACACTCGGACCTTCATTCCCGTCCTGCCTTTTATTTTGGAGGTGAGTGCTCTGTTTGCACCCATGGCATAGGCCAAGCCACCTTGGTTCATTGCTAATTGTAGGGTTTTTGCACATGTGTGGATGTGTGTGTTTGCAAATGCTTGCTGGGTAACCACATCCTCTCGGCCCTTGCGGCTTTTTGGCGGATCCTTCCTTACCCGCTCTCTACCAACCCCTTTCCTTCCTCTGAGGTTTTGCAGCTTGGGTTTCGGGATAGAGCCTCATTCACCCACCTTTCCCCTCCTTGCCTTTGCTCCATTTCCCCCTCGCTCGCCCACAAGCCACATATATCATCCCGGCTGTGGTTTTCGCTTGCTTTCCTGCCCGTGCAACCACATCCGGCACTACTGGGCCTTTAAACAGGCACCCTACCCACCAACATGGACTGGGTGATGGTTGGGTCGGGGAGGAGAAAGCGTCAATGTCAATATACTTAGTTCATGTTCCTTTAAACAACCCATTGTTTGTCTGTGCACCCGCACATGTGTGTAAGGGGAGGGGGTTCTGTGTGCAAAGTTTGGTCCAGGTCCGTCATTGGTAGAGACCACAATTTTTCTGGTTGTGGTGAACTACAACTCCCTGAAAGGAAGGTCAGTTGCCCCTCCCCCCAACCCCTCCAGTAATCAATTTCAGCATATCAGGTATGTGTGCCAAGTTTGGTGCAGATTCGTCATTAGTTTGGTTCACAGTGTTTTCTGGATGCTGGTGAACTACAACTTTCCCAGGGCAAGGATGGCCATATTCCCAGGGCAGTCTTGCCCAAATTGGGCCTGTATTCAAAGTAGGATACGTTGGATCTGATGCCAAGTTTGGTGCAGATCTGTAATTGGTTGGGTTCACAACCTCAAATTCCATGGGCAATCATGCTCAGATTCCCAGAGCAATCATGCCCAAATTCAGCCTATATTTAAAGTTGGGCATGTTGGATCTGCATGCCAAGTTTGGTGCAGATCCATCATTGTTTGGGTTCACAGTGTTCTCTGGAAGCAGGTGAACTACAACTCCCAGATTCCCAGAGCAATCATGCCCAGATTCCCAGGACAATTGTACCCAAATTCCACTTGTATCTTAAGTTGGGTACATTGGATCTGTATGCCAAGTTTGGTGCAGATCCATCATTGGTTGGGTTCACAGTGTGCTCTGGATGCAGGTGAACTACAACTCTCAGATTCCCAGGGCAATCATGCCGAAATTCCAGCTGCATCTTAAGTTGGGCACAATGGATCTGTGTGCCAAGTTTGGTGCAGATCCATCATTGGTTGGGTTCACAGTGCTGTATGGATGCAGCTGAACTACAACTCTCAAATTCCATGGGCAATCATGCTCAGATTCCCAGAGCAATCATGCCCAAATTCTGCCTATATTTAAAGTTGGGCATGTTGGATCTGCATGCCAAATTTGGTGCAGATCCGTCATTGGTTGGGTTCACAGCGCTCTCTGGATGCAGGTGAACTACAACTCCCAAATTCCCAGGGCAATCATGTCCAGATTCTCAGGACAATTGTACCCAAATTCCATCTGTATTCAAAGTTGAGCATGTTGGATCTGCCTGCCAAGTTTGGTGCTGATCCGTCATTGGTTGGGTTCACAGTGCTCTTTGGATGCAGGTGAACTACAACTCCCAGATTCGCAGGGTAATCATGCCCAGATTCCCAGGGCGATCATGCCGAAATTCCAGCTGTATCTTAAGTTGGGCACATTGGATCTGTGTGCCAAGTTTGGTGCAGATCCATCATTGTTTGGGTTCACAGTATTCTCTGGATGCAGGTGAACTACAACTCCCAGATTCCCAGGGCAATCATTCCCAGGACAATCGTAAACCTAATTCCACCTGTATCTTAAGTTGGGTACATTGGATCTCTATGCCAAGTTTGGTGCAGATCCATCATTGGTTGGGTTCACAGTGCGCTCTGGATGCAGGTGAACTACAACTCCCAAATTCCCAGGGCAATCATGTCCAGATTCTCAGGACAATCGTACCCAAATTTCATCTGTATTCAAAGTTGAGCATGTTGGATCTGCCTGCCAAGTTTGGTGCTGATCCGTCATTGGTTGGGTTCACAGTGCTCTTTGGATGCAGGTGAACTACAACTCCCAGATTCCCAGGGCAATCGTGCCCAAATTTGGCCTGTATTCACTGTTGGGCATGTTGGATCTGTATGCCAAATATGGTACAGATCCATCATTGGTTGGATTCACAGTGCGCTCTGGATGCAGGTGAACTACAACTCCCAGATTCCCAGGGCAACCATGCGCAGATTCCCAGGGCAATCGTGCCCAAATTTGGCCTGTATTCAAAGTTGAGCATGTTGGATCTGCGTGCCAAGTATGGTACAGATCCATCATTGTTTGGGTTCACAGTATTCTCTGGATGCAGGTGAACTACAACTCCCAGATTCCCAGGGCAATCATTCCCAGGACAATCGTAAACCTAATTCCACCTGTATCTTAAGTTGGGTACATTGGATCTGTATGCCAAGTTTGGTACAGATCCATCATTGGTTGGATTCACAGTGCGCTCTGGATGCAGGTGAACTACAACTCCCAGATTCCCAGGGCAACCATGCGCAGATTCCCAGGGCAATCGTGCCCAAATTTGGCCTGTATTCAAAGTTGAGCATGTTGGATCTGTGTGCCAAGTTTGGTCCAGACCCTGTCCCAGGAACCAGATCATCATGGACATCATCCTCAGTCCCAACATAACCATTAAGCACAGTCCCAGGCTGATATACAACAGCCCCGACCTTTAAACTACGTCTCTCCCCTCCCTTCCTTGTGCTCCTTGGAGTGGAAAGGGGGCCCTTGTTCCTCCTTCCCCTCCCTTTCCCTCGCTGTCCTTGTCACACTGCCGCGGTGACAGCTCGGGCGTCTTGTGCGGTCTCTCCGGGGCGCTGGAATTCCCCAAGCCCCTGCCGGAGGGAAAAGAGGAGCGAGAGGCGTGATGCGCCTTGACAGCAGCTTCTGCTTCCCTGGCGCGGAGAACACCTGCCCCCGGCGGCTTCACCTCTCTTTCGGAGGGTTGAGACGTGCGCCGGCGCGGCGCCCTATACTTAGAACCGAGTCGGGCGCCTGTGCGTGCCTTGCGTGGAAAGTCCCGAAACGAAAACGAAGCGGAGAGGCAGGAAAGGAAGGGTTCTTCCGCCTCCCGCACTGTCTCCGCATCTCATTTGCGATCGTCTCCGCGGCTGACATTCTTCAGCTCCGGCGGCAGGAGGCTCGTTTGGCTCCAGGGCTGGAAGGCACGTCTGCGTAAACAACACGGCAACGGCTCCTCTTTCCCCGTCCCCACCCCCTTCCCCGTGGGGGACAAGGCTGGCTCGCCAATTTAGAAATCGTCTCCTTTTTCCCCCCGGGAAGGAAAGACGTGTGAACCCTGATATGCTCTGGGAGGCACTTTAAAAAAAGACACGCAACACACACAGGCAGCTGACGCTGAAACCTTACCACTGACGGATTTGTGAGACTTGTGTCGTTGATCCAAAAAAAAATTCCAAACCCATTTTGGATGGTGGTTCGATTCAAAATTGAATTCCGAATTTTTAAAAGCTTCCGAAATTTTTGCGATTACGCAACACGCAAGACTTTAAAGTATGGGATTTGTAGTGTCTTTTTAAAAACTTTCTGAAGTTTCTGAAATTTCCAAAATTTCTGAATCGCGTGTTGCAGAATTGCATCCACCATTAGCGAAGCGATTCGGATGGGATTTGTAGTGTCTTTTTAAAAACTTGCCGAAGTTTCCAAAATTTCTGAAATTTAAAGTATGGGATTTGTAGTGTGTTTCTGAAATTTCCAAAATTTCCAAATTGCTTCGTTAATGGCGGGCACAATTGCGCAACCCACAACACTTTAAAGTATGGGATTTGTAGTGTCTTTTAAAAAACTATCCGAAGTTTCTGAAATTTCCGAATCGCTTCTTTAATGGCGGACATGATTCCGCAACATACAAGACTTTAAAGTATGGGATTTGTAGTGTCTTTTTAAAAACTTTCCGAAGTTTCTGAAATTTCTGAATCGCTTTGTTAATGGCTGACGCAATTGCGCAACAGACAAGACTGTAAAGTATGGAATTTGTAGTGGCTTTTAAAAAAACTTTCCAAAGTTTCCGAAATTTCCAAATCGCCTCGTTAATGGCGGACGCGATTGTGCAACACACAAGACTTTAAAGTATGGGATTTGTAGTGTCTTTTTAAAAACTTTCCGAAGTTTCTGAAATTTCCAAAATTTCCGAATTGCTTCATTAATGGCTGACGCAATTGCGCAACACACAAGACTGTAAAGTATGGAATTTGTAGTGGCTTTTAAAAAAACTTTCCAAAGTTTCCGAAATTTCCGAATCGCTTCGTACATGGCGGACRCGATTGCGCAACACGCAAGACTTTAAAGTATGGGATTTGTAGTGTCTTTTTTTTCAACTTTCCGAAGTTTCCAAAATTTCCAAATCGCTTCGTTGATGGCGGACGCAATTCCGCAACATACAAGACTTTAAAGTATGGGATTTGTAGTGTCTTTTTTTTCAACTTTCCGAAGTTTCCAAAATTTCCAAATCGCTTCGTTGCTGGCGGACGCAATTCCGCAACATACAAGACTTTAAAGCATGGGATTTGTAGTGTCTTTTAAAAAACTTTCCGAAGTTTCTGAAATTTCCGAATTGCTTCGTTAATGGCGAGCGCGATTGCGCACCACGCAAGACTTTAAAGTATGGGATTTGTAGTGCCTTTTTAAAATTTTTCCAAAGTTTCTGAAATTTCCAAAATTTCCGAATCGTTTCGTTAATGGCGGACGCAATCACGCAAAATGCAAAATTGGAATTTGTAGTGTCTTTTTAGGCAACTCACCGCAAACAAAAAAAATAACAAACAGCCCTGCCCCTTTTTGCCTTGGAAGCTGAGTTTGCAACTTTAGGAAGGAGAGTTTGTGTTTGAAGAGTAGCTTGCATTGATGGGAGATCTAGTTCTTTTGAGGCAACGTGCAACACAAAGTAAAAAGAATAACAACGCTCA